GAAGGATCGCTTGAGCCCAGGAGTGTGAGGTTGCTGTGAGCTAGGCTGACGCCATGGCACTCACTCTAGCCCAGGCAAAAGAGTGAGACTCTGTCTCAAAAAAAAAAAAAATTTCAATTTATGGATAATTTCTTAGAAAAATGAAAATGGAAAAATCTAAAGAGATGGAGGGGGAACCTGTAGAGTAAAAGAAACTTAAGAGACATCAATTCATTACAATATGTGGACCTTATTTGGATCCTAATTCAAACAAAGATCACAGAGTTTGATAATATACTATGGAGGCAAGGATATTATCAAAATGTATTATCTTTGCTGAAAATGCTAAAGCAGAACCTTTTTATGGGAAACATAGGGATTGAGAAACAAGCACCACGAGTGGGGGAAAAAAAGACAAATCCAGAAAATGTAACATTCTGCTGGCCTGGTGTCTTCAACAAATCAGTGTCATTGAGAAAAAATATGTGGAAAAGAGGGACTGTTCCAAATGAAAAGAAACATAAGAAACGTGACAACCAAATGCAACATGTGGTCTTTGAGTGGATCCTGGTTTGAACAAACCAGCTGCAAAATAAATTTGGGGATAATTGGGAAATGTTAAATATAGACTGGGCATTAAATGAATTAAGGAATTATTAATATATTTAATGCTATTGTCACATACTTGCTAGACGTGATAAAGTTATTGTGGTTTTATGGGAAAATGTCATATTTTGGATTTGCATCCTTTGATATTTAGGGATAAAATGCCATGATGTCTGTAATTTATTTTAAATTTCAGCAAACAAAGCAAATATAATGAAAGTATTTCAGCAAACAACGTTATATATGATGAAGCAAATACAACAACATTAATTATTAAATCTGGGTGATGGTTATATAGATATTCATTATTCTATTCTTCTTTTTTGTGTATTTGAAATTTTCATAGTGTTAAGCACACAAACAGAGTAATGCTACAGTGAAAAACTTCGGACATACTTTGCATGCTGTGGGGATCACTCCAAGGTCTGCTAAGCCCTATGTTAGGCAATATGGAAGGATCTAGAACAATGTTTTTCAAACTTCAGATTATGACTTTTTAGTCATTCCTAAAATCAATTGAGGAGGATTATGACCAGTAATTTCTATATGAAATAGAATAGAAAATAGCTAAGGATTTGATCTAGTGAGGATTACTATTACATGAAATTTTGTTATCATATAATCATATATATCAGTTACTTTTATACATATGCATGTATATGATTATGATGTAAAATCCATTTCTTATTATAATTTTCAGGCAAAAAGTTTAGAAGTCACTGAAGGGTCCAATATTTTCTACCAGAAGTTACTGATGTTGGTGCCTTCTCTGGTTTCAAGTTCATTTTTCTTAAATATCTTTGACAATACTTTCTTTGCTTGCTGCGCCTTGGTTATCTGATGGATGAATTAGAAATGTTCTTATTTTCTTTGTTTTGATTTATCTAGTAACCATGACTGAAGTTTTACCAAAAGAAAGGAAACAAAAAGAGGAGAAGACCTTAATTCTTGGTCAAGCTGTGGTGGACCTTCTTCCCTTATTAGCAGGTCAGGTATATGACTTTCTCAACAGCAGAAATAGCAAAGCTTATAAAATTTAGCTCCAGAGAAGCACAAAAATGAGCCTCAATTAATTTGAGGGATTTGAGAGAAAAAATGAGAACATTTATCTCTGCCTCATTTATATCTGTTAAGTTTTTTTTTTTTTTTTTTTTTCACGATGGAGTCTCACTCTGTTACCCAGGCTAGAGTGCTGTGGCATCAGCGTAGCTCACAGCAACCTCAAACTCTTGGGCTCAAACAATCCTAATGCCTCAGCCTCCCAAGTAGCTGGGATTACAGACATGTGCCATCACGCCTGGCTAATTTTTTCTATATATATTTTTAGTTATCCAGCTAATTTCTTTCTATTTTTTAGTAGAGATGGTGTCTCGCTCTTGCTCAGCCTGGTCTCGAACTCCTGAGCTCAAATGATCCACCTGCTTCGGCCTCCCAGAGTGCTAGAATTACAGGCGTGAGCCACCACGCCTGGCCAATCTGTTAAGTTCTAACTTAACGTCTTCTTTGGCTCAACTTGGCCTTCTTTTTGCAGGAGAAAGTTCATTTGAAACAACAGCCCCATTGCATCCTGTGCAGGGCTCACCTTTAGAAACTCCTCGATCAGGTGTTAAGGTAATCTCAACATTTCAGCCTGCCATTCAATCTAACAAGTCTTTCTGTTACTAAGGTTCAGTTCAGTTGAATCTGATTCATTAGGCACTTTCTTTTCATAGTACACATAGTGTTAGATTCTGAGAAACAAAGATGAGTTAGGCAGAGTCCTACTTTTGAAAAGCCCACAATCTACATATCATGGATTATAACTCAGTGTGATTAAACGATGGAGTGGGGCACACGGGCACAGAGCAGGTATCAGTTACTTTGCCCAAGGGTAGATGTAGGGAAGGCTTAATGGAAATGCCTCTTGAGCTCTGTCCTGATAGATCAAATAGTATATGAAAGCACCTAATATGCTTTCCAGCATGGTAGCCTGCCTCTGGTTGAAGACTTATTCAACAGTTCCAGCCTAGACCCTTCTCCTGAATCCCAGATTGTCAGACTTTACAAGCACCTGCTAGATTTCTGTATAATGATATCCCATGGGCACCTAAAACTCAACATTCCAAAAGTGAACTCAGTATCTTCCCCAAAACCTACTCTTGCTTTTATCTTTGTTATTTTGACTAGTGGCATCACTCATCCATGAAAGCACAGACCATAGAACCAAAATTACATCCATGACTGCTCGCTCCCACCCTAGCTACATCCAATGCCCAAATCCTCCTTTTACCAAATCTAGCCTTTTCTTTCTTCTAAGAGTCTGTAAACCCTTCTTCTTAGCTTCATTCCTATTCTTTATTGCCTCATCATTGCTCACCTGGATTGTTACAAGTATCCTTGTACCTACCCTTGTCTCCCTCCAGTTCAGCCTTCCCATAGCTTGCACATGGACTTAAAAGTGAATTCGATCATATCTCTTCCCTTACTTAGTAGTGTGGTTCATGGTTTCACCTACTGCTTACATATTAAGGTCCAGATTTCTTAGCAGGCATATAACGTCCTTTATAATGAGAGCCTCCTGCTCCAACCTCATTTCCCAGCACTCCTCTCCTTGTACTTTATGTTCTAGAATCCTGAACTACTTACTTATACCTGAACTGAATATATTATACTGTTTTAGTTCCCCTTTACATAAACTGTTCTTTTTAGCCACAATTATTTTCTCTTTCCTTACTCTGCTTATCCAGGTTGTAAACTCCTATTCATCCTGTAAAAGTCAACTCAGTTGTCACCATCTCTTACTCCTTCCCAGCCTAATAATTAATTAGTAATTAATT